GCTGCTCCGCGCCGCTCGCCGCCGCCGGCTTCTTCCCCAGCACCGAGTCTGCCAAGAGCCAAGAGAGCGGCTGAGCCCGCGCCCCGCCGGGCCGCGCCCGCCCCGGCCCCGCCGCCTCGGGCAGCGCCCGTCCCACCTTTGAACAGCTCCACGTGCTTGAACTCGAAGGGGATGTTGTTGCTCCGGGCGAAGATGTAGAGCGCCCGGCAGGGCTGCGAGAGCAGGTCCAGGTACAGCTCCAGCCCCATCCCGACCCGGCCCGCCCTGCGGGAGCTGCCGCGGCTCTGCACCGAGCGCCCGGAGCCGCCCCGCATGGGCCGGCGGGGGCCGAGCCGCGCCGGGCGGGAGGTGCCCTCCGGCCCTCCCCCGTTCCCTCCCTCGCTGTCCCGGGCCGGGCCGGGCGGGGGCACAGGAGCGGGGTCTGTGCCGGGGGGACCGCGGGACGAGCCCTGGAGAGTGTCGAGGAGCCCGGGAGAGCCCAGCCGGGGCAGGGAGGCACGGCCCGAGCTGGGACCGGGGTGACAGGGTTCCCCTTCCCACAGCGTCGGGAGGACCTGGGTCGCTGTGGCTGGCAGCGTGTTCATTCATTTTCCTTCGGGAAGGGAAGGGGAATAGTGACGCGAGTAGCGGTCAGTTACCAGCCTCAAAGGTTGGTACTGAGCAGTAACAGAGAAGGGGCTGTCACTCCCCTCACAGCTTTAGCTGGCACGGCAGGGTCTCTGGAGTTACTCACCCACAGCATCCCACTGCGACTTTCACAAGGTAAATGCTGAGTTTTGTAACACAGTTCTGCAGGGCTGTGCCACGCTGCAGACAGGGCCCCTGCACAGTCTCCTCTAAGGCACTGTTAATCACGCACCGCCAGGTCTCAGCAGGGCTTTCTGTCCAGAACATAATTCTTTAGTCGTGTATTCTCTGCTGCAAGGTGACATCTGAATGGCAGTGAAGTGTGGAGGACTCCTCTGTGGATGTTACCTCTGCACACTCACTCAAAGTGACTTTCCCTTCCCTGGTATTTGTCACTGAGCCCACAGCGTTTCCCAGCTGTGTGATTCGGGAAGGTGACGGCTGGCTGAGTGCAGGGACTCTGGGAGCTGTGAGATAGAGCAGCTGAACACTCAGGGCAAAGTCACCCCCAATCAAACCCACCTCAGCTGTGCTGACACCTCGCTATCAGTGTTGTGCCAGAGAGCCTGTATGGCACAGACAGATCTTTGGGAATCTCAGGGAGAGGGAACTGGAGGATCAGCTGCTCTTTTTCTTGTGAAAAGGCTTGGGTACTTGAGCTGGGAGCTTGTGGACTAGACAAATTACAAACTGGAACATTTCCAGGGGTTTAGGACTTTAAATTTAGAAGAGCACAGTAAGAATTTTTCAGTTTCTCAGCCAGAGCAGGGAGAGGTGCTGTGCACCCCCTTCACTTCCCCTGCAGCACAGCTCAGCCTCTTGAGCACCTGCACCCAGCACTGATATGCTGCAGATCACAGCTCATGGAGTCTTGAGTTCAAACTCCTTCAGTGCAAAGCAATCTGAAATGTTAAGGGAGTGGGGAAAAGGAGCATGGAAGTGGCTCTGCACAGGTAAATACTCAGAGAAGTCTTTGAGCTTCAAAGTGCTCCCATGCCCACACTCTGAGAGATCATTGAGAAGAGTGTTGATCTCAGCAGTGTGCAGCACCATGAGCAGTGTGGGCTCACTTTGCTCCTTTATTCATGGTTCACTTGCTCCATTAGTCCTATCTGAACTTCAAAGATCTTTTCATGTGCCTCCTGGAAATGCTCCTTCCTTAAGTTTTTCTCCAATTTGCTGACTGCACTGCACAGCCCACATAACCAAAGAGGTATTTTTATCTGCTTTGTTATAGGGCATTTGACTGATTATTCCTGGCTCCAGGCTAATGCTTCTAGCACTGTATTTTCATTTTACTCCATCACCTCAAAGACCATTTTTTGTGCCCTTATCTTCTCTGTCAGCAAGAAGCAGGAACAAGACAGAAAAAAATGCATTAAGTTTTGCAGTTTATTTCTTAATCATTTAGAAGAAGTCTCACGATGTCTTTCTGTTTTTTCAACATTCCTCCTATTTTGTGTGTTACAGCTTCATTTTATTCCAGAAATCACAGGTTCTCACTTATTTGGAAATAGCCCTGGCAAGAGTTGAGGAAGTTGAATGGACCACGTTAGATTAGGCTGACAGTGGAGGTGTAATCCCTCTCCCTTTTCAGGGTGAAAGGGGAGTGTTCACTCTACAGACCTTGTACCAAACAAGCAAAACTCTTGCACAACCTGTTGGGTTTTGGGAGGCAGCTCCCAGGGCTTTCCATCTAGGAACTGGAACCAGGCAAGATCCAATGGCACAAAGCAACAAAATACAGAGGTAGAGGGGTAGCAGAAGGCAAAGTACAAGGATGAGCAGCCTTATCTCCATGATTTAGAGCAAAGAACAAGGCAGATTTATCTGTTTCATAACTCTGTGGCCATCCAAGGAGTTACTCTTGGGAGGTGCTTTGTCCTGGGGGAATGGAAGGGCTCAAAATCCCACTGGTCACTGCACGCATGCCAGGCAGAAACTATGGGAAAAACAATTTAAAATCCCTTTCTGACATCATGACCAGGCTGGAGTGAGGCAAGTGTGTTTATCCTTTGTGAAACAGCAGTGCAAGAGCACCAGAGAGCCAGCTCTGAACATAGCTCCAGCTTGGTTCTGAAGGCAGCCTTCTTGCAGGAGTGCACAACTTAAGGAACTTGTGCCTCATTCCAACAAGCAGAAAATTGGCTCAAGGCTCTTAGGTGGAGTTTTTGTCCTACAAGTATAGTAAATAAAAAAAAGTTTTAAAAAGACATTTTATTTGCCTTGGCTTGTGCAATGGTTTGCTTTGGTCTGGAGATTCTGCAGGGACATGTGTGGCACAAAAGGCACTGCTGCTTAAGTCCATTTTGAGATCTGTCAGGATTAGCACCCCCCAAAACAGACTCTTGGTTTTGATTGTTCCTCTGCTCTGCCAATACTTGTACAGAAAGTGTGAGAAATATTTATGATGCTGGTAGAAGTTTGCTCTCTGCAAGAAAGGGAAAAGCTGAAAGTCAGGCCAGGTGCAAAGATGCCATCAGCAGAGTGCAGTGAGGCTGGGCAGCCTTGGCAAGGCAGCAGAGGCACCTCTTTGATTTCAGGGGTGCAGAGCAGCCCAGCTGGGAGCGTGGCGAGGCTGCAGGGAGGGAGGAAGGAAGTGGTACAACGTAAACACCTCCTGGGCTCAGCAGGGCAGGCTGTCAGGCACTGCTGCTCAGGCACCAGCCATGCAAGCACTCCTGGGGCCAGCACAGAGCTGCTGTCACTGCCTTTGCTCACTCTCAACAAATGTACCAACAAGACATCAGGTAAGAATTCAAATAGCCCTGCACGGAAAGGGAGAGAGTTTGAGGGCAAATGTGCCTTTTCATCACTGATATTGAGGATTTCCTGCAGGCTGGAAGGATGGAAAGGAAAGGCACCAGGCTGCTCCTATAGCTCAGCCTACAGGCATGTGCAATGCAGACTCTGGTTTGTGGCCCTTTGAACTAAAGGGCAGGTTTACTCAGAAAACAAACAGAAAAGCCAGCTGGCTCATTCCCCAAAAACAGGAGATCCAACTGAAAAAATGTGTGAGACTTTGAGCAGCTACATTGACCATTTCTGGGCACTGCAATAACTTGACTTGCATTCAGACATCTCACACCCAGCTTAGTGTGCAGCCTCCCCCATGGATGGTGTAACCAGCAGCAGAGACAAACAGACCTCCAGGTACAAACACAGCTTAGCAAGGAGGGGAGAAAAACAATTCTGCAAACTGGAACCCTCCTCATGGAGGTCTGCACCGGGAAATGGGAGCTCACAGGGACAGGAGAGCAGGAAGGCAGGAATGGCACAAAGGGACACAGGCTGTGGCTGTGGAGGGTGCTGCACAGGTGTGGATGATGATGTGATGGCCACTTCCTTCCAAATCCTGATTACAAATCCAAACAGAACTACAACACCTGGCACATGCAGCCCTTGGCTTTCTGGAGGATCTGAGGAGACTGAAGAGCAGTGGAGCATTAACCATGTGTGGGACATTCCCTGTGTGAGCTCTCTGCCCACACAGGGCTGGCCAGCACAGCTCCCTGGGCTAGCCCAGCCACAGCAGCACTCCGTGCCAGCAGCCTGGCCAGAATGGTTTCTGCTGTGCTGAAAAACCACGCTGGGAGGGGGACAGAGCCTGATGTGGTTTGCAGAGAGAGCCGTGTCGTTTGCAGCAGCTTGACCAAGAAAAGCAGCTTTTTCCACTGTGCAGGGTGTTCTTTGTATAGCACAGCTTGAGTCTCTGGGTGAGGAGCGTTATTGACCCTGTCCTTGCCAGAAGCTGGAGGTGTCCCTTGGTGCCAGCACAGCTCCCTGCCCTGGGCATTGTCCCTTTGCTCTCACAGGGGATGCAGCAGCATCTAGTGGCCAGGTGTTCCAAGGGCCCTGGCAGGGTTCCCACCGGGGCTGGGTCCTGACCTGTCCCTTTCCTAAAGAACAAAAATCTCCAGCAGCCTGTTTCCACTTGGCACGGTGAAAACCATCTGCTACAGTGTTTTTTCCTTGTTTCAGCCACACCTGTTCTGCCATACCCTCAGGAAACCTTTGCTCTGGCCTGGAAAACAGAGCAGAAGTGGGAGGGCAGCTCTGGTGCCCCTGTTCCCACACAGACTGAACCACCTCAGCCCTGAAACACATCCAGGTTCTGGCTGCCCCTGCTCCCACACAGACAACCACCTCAGTCAGCCCTGAATCACATCCAGAGGTGCTGGAACATGAAAGAAAAGCCTGCAGGGCTACACTTCCCCTGCTGCAGTGGACAAGGGGGAAAAGCTGCTCATGGCAGTCTAAGATGTATTTTTCTTCTCTTCTAAGTTGCAGAAAGGCTGTGAACAAAGAGAAGTGCATTTTGTGGAATGGTGTTTATGATTTTTAGAAGAAATACTCAAAGACTACAAAAAGCCTTCAGAAAAATAATCCATTTTATTAGAGCACAACCCTTTAATTCTGCTTTAGGAGATGCTGCTTGAAACTCTCCAGCAACTCAGGTGCAAACTGGTCAGCAGTCAAGTTCTTAACGTTCATGATGTCCTGGTGGGCTTCCAGGAAGAGCTCCTTCCCCACAGCCTCTTCCACCCGGCTGCGCCACGCCGCTAACGCCGGCCTCTCCTCAAACAGGGCATAGCCAGCACACACGGGCTGCAGAGACACAGAGAGCACAGAGTGAGCTAACAGGGCATAGCCAGCTCACACAGGGGCTGCAGAGACACACACAGACCCAAAGGAGGCCAACAGGGCATAGCCAGCTCACACAGGGGCTGCAGAGACACACACAGACCCAAAGGAGGCAAACGGGGCATAGCCAGCACACACAGACCCAAGTGAGCCAAACAGGGCATAGCCAGGGATGGACCCATGGAAATGGATGTGCTTCTGGCTCAAGGCAGCAGCCATGACATCAGGTGGAGCTCATCTCTGGCTCTTGGGTCATAGGAGGAAAGTGGTGACACCTCAGCAGCAGCTGTGCCTTGGGACCTGCAGCAAAGGGCTCTGCCATGGCTAACCCCAGAATGGTCCATGCAGAACATGGACATGCACACCAACACAGCTCTTCCAAATATCTGTACTTTCCTGCCTAGCTTGTAATTTATCTTTCTTTCATGATTAATTCTGCCCATATTTCTTTGTTTCATCAAAGTAGGTTTTCCCCAGTAAAATTGTTATCAAAGTCAAAAAGGAGCAAGATTAACCCCAGGGAAGATCTGCCATTACAGAGCTGGGGGTGCAGCACCCCCCTGGCCTGCCCTGCCCACAGCCCAGCTCACATCCAGCAGTGCTGGGGTTGCTGCTCACCTGCATGAGCTCCACCAGTGCCACCAGGTCTGCCAGGGAGACCTCGCTGCCTGCGATGAAGGGCTTGTCCTGCAAGAACTTCTCCTCAAACTCCTTCAGGGCAACGTTCAGCTCCTCAGTGGCAAGCTCCAGTTTCTCTGGAGGAAGTGGCTGGCCTGTGATGAGAGGCAGCAGCACCTGGCAGGGAGAAAAAACAACTGGCTTTTTATGTGCTTCTTTCCAAATCTACTCATCACACTCTCACTGCCACATTCTGAGGATCCCTCACCAGCCATGCATGAGAACAACCAGAGCTGCTCATCAGCCTTGCCAGGTTAACATAAATGTCAGTCCTTACTGCCTGCCTCTCCTTGTCTGCTGCCTAGAAATCTGAAAATTCAACCACAAGAGTCTCCTCTCAAAGTGATGCCTTGAGAAGGCTGGCCTAGAACAGAAACCAGACAGCTAAAGAATAAAGTAGGGATTTAGTAGGAGGTCTCAATGGATCCGCCTTGGGCAGCACAAGAGACCAGCCAGAGCTACACCCATAATGAACCAAAATGGTCACAAAATGGACAACTGGTCATGGGGTCTCTCACTTTCATAACTTCTGCTCCATTTGCATATTGGATTTCATTGTTCAATTACAGCCCATGAAGTCCCAGTTTTTCTCTCTTCAGCCCACGCTGTTTGTGCTCTTGGGGCTGAGATTTGGATCATTTGTCCTTGGTGCCCAGCTGGAGCAGGAATTGTTTTGTCTCCTTGCTCTGTGCAGAGAACTCACCATCCCCTAACATGAAACCCAGACCCACACACTAAAGCAGCACAGAAAAACAGAAAAGCTACAACCTGAGGCATCAAAGGGAAGACTGTGTTATCTGCCAGCACCTGCATTTTGTTTGTGCAGAGGGAGACAGTTTCTTTCCATGAAGCTGGGCAGCCAGCACTGAGCTGTGTCTGGGGGAGCTCTCACCTTCTGCATTTGCTCTGGATTTTCCTTTGGCTGCAGCAGGAAGGATCCAGCCTACTTCACTTAGGCTCACTTCAGCAGCCAAGTCAGTTTTGTTCCTATCTCTCACTTGGCTTGTACATTTGCTGAGGAAGGCCCTGCAGACAGGCAGGCCATTTCCCTTACAGCCCTTAGCACCTCATTTTTGGTGTCCAATGATTTTACCTTGCTTAAGAACAGCTTGCTCCCCTTGGCACGGATGTTGGTGTGCTGCCAGGACAGGTACTCATCAACCCTGGCCCTTTTCTGCAGGTCAGCTGGGTACCAGTGATCAGGAGTCTTGAATTTCTGGACCAGGTACAGGAGGATTGCAATGCTGCCCAGAGAGCAAGACACAGCAGTGAGGGGATCATCTGGGATTAAAGCACCTCATCCTTTCTTTTCCCCCAAATTTTGCACTGCTGGACAAACAGCCACACAGACCTGATGAGTAGAAGTGCAGCAGGGCACAGCACAGGAGAGAGTTTGTGCTGCTGCCTGTGGACCAAAATCTAATACAAGTAATTGCCCAGTTTTGAGCAAATAGAAGCTGCAGAATGAGTTTATACCAAATCTGAGCTTCACACTGCCTGGCCATCCAGCAGTGGGTGCTTTAGGTCAGATTTCCTGCACTGACCTCCAGCCTCCAGCTGCAGGCAGAGAGCAGGACACCTGGCCAGGTATTTAAGCTCAGAAACAATACCTACAAAGCAGCAAAGCAGCTCCAAGCAGCAGCTTTTCCTACTGTTATCACTGTTCAAGTTGCTTACATAAGATAGCTTCTCTTGAAACACAGGTTTGTCATGTGCAAGTGGAACAAAGGACAGGAGGGAGACAAAAACCTGTCTGGACTGGAGTGCCAGCAGCACCCTGGCAGAATCCAAGCCCTGGATAAACAACAGTGCAGCAGGGGATTAATTGAGCCTCACCTCTCTGCTAAGGTGAAAGAGCCATCCTTGAGTGCAGGCACCTTCATCAGGACGTTCACCTTCCGGAACTCCTCTGTCTTGTGCTGCCCTGAGGAGGGAAAGGAGAAGTTTTACTTGGCAGGGACATTCAGGACCTTTTTGTAAACATCTGAGGAGTTTGTGGGGACTGTCCAGCTCCAAGTTCCTCTTTCTGACTGTACAAATTGTGCCTTGCATTGAGTTTCTAAGCCATGAGTGAGTGCTGCAGGGCGAGCAGGGGGCTAGCCCTGTGCTATCAGCTTTTCACTGATTATCGCCTGTATGCCAGGCCCACCTATGGACCAAGGGCAGCATGGTTAGGAGTCCTTTCATACCAACAGCACTTGACAGCTTGGGGCTCTATCCACTCCAGGTTTGTGCCTGGAGATACCTGTGCTGTACAAAGCCAGAGGGAGCACCAGGCACTTTGGGGGAAAGGGATCTCTCAAACCCTCTCCTCCAGGGAAGGGAGGACACTGAGAAAGCAGATAGATACCTTTTTCTGGAAGTTATGCACTTTATATTCAACTATACTTTCTAAAGTCCACAGATGAAAATAAATTCCTGTGATTCCATGTAAAGCCATGGGTACTTCATTACAGATGAAGTTTCAATTAGTGCCTGTGCATCTTGCAATCTTTTGTAAGAGCAGATACGAATTTGAGGTTGCTTTTAAACTATCTTGTAGGACCTCCCCAAAGGCAGAGTGAACCTGACAGGAGAAGGTGTTTTGCTCCTCTGAGGTCTCAGTGTACTCCATTCTGTCTGAAACCAGTGCCAGAAGCCTTGTTCTGTGGGACTTGTTTGTGACAGCCTTTTCCACCCACTCCCTTCAGCCACACGTGGCTGCCTGGGTATTCAAGCCTCTCTGATGTGTAACTAACCTTGTGCCCTGTCCTGCTCTGTGAGCTATCTGAGACTCTGTGTGCCAGAGGAGATGCTCTGGAAGCAAATTTAGTTTTCTGTACTTGGCAGACCTGATTTGTGACTATTCCCCTGTCATTTGGCTCACCGCCCACCTCCCCTACCCCTCTCAAAAAGAAGAAGTGTGCAGATTCCAGGTCTTCAGGTGTCCTTTGAATGCCAGGTGATCCCTACCCATTCCCACTCCTTCCACCCCTTTCACTGACACCTGCCCTGCTGGGGCTGAGAGCTTTTCTGGGCCATCACACTTAAGGCACCAGCTCAGTTCTGAGTCTCAGCTCCCTCACCTTGTCCTTACAAACTGTGCAGGGCCAGGGGCCCGTGCAGGGATCCTCCCCCACTGTGGCACCCATGCAGATACCTGGAGAGCTTCCCCAGGCATGGGAGGTGCACCCAAATCACCCATCTCAAATCCAAAAGCAGATTCCCAAGGGGCACAAAGCACTGGGAATCTGTGGAATCTGTGATTTAATTATCTTTCCTTCACTTCCCCTATCCTTGCATTTCAGTTGTTCCTTTTTCTTTGCTGCGCTCATTCCTTGCCAGTTTCCTCTCCTTTGCTCCAGTGTCTCACCACAACAATTAATTAATTTATTGGGAAAGAAGGGGAAGGGCACAAGATGAGCCAGCCTCCAGGTACAAAGAATTGCAAAAGCTTTTGCTATGAGGCAAGTGGGAGGAAAGCCACAGTTAAGGTACAACCACCACACAGCTCAGGTGCAGGGGAACAGCCAAAGACTCAACCACAACACATCTGAGGTTTCTCTCAAGTTGGAGTCTCTTTTGTTCCTTCCTCAATTTCAGCTCCAGGAGCCTTCTCATCTTTCATTGTTTTTAAGCATTACTTACTGAGGCCTTTTTATGCCCACTGCATTACCTTAATTTCAAATCCATCAGATATTTGGAGAGGCTGAAGGATAGGGTTTACCAGCTTCAATTACAAACACAGAAGATAGAGATCTTTGGTGAAAAGACACCTTTGGACAGGCTCCTACCAGTTATCAGTTGGCTGGAACCCAACAAAACCACCTCCCTTCATTTCTCAGTGTTCAGATCACTGCCAGCTGCACTGTCTCGCTCCACAGCCTTCTCAAGCTGGTGCTCAACCCTCCCAAAATAACCAGAGCACAAAGCACTCGGGCCAGTGGAACCCCAGGGGGGCAGCCCTGCCCCTGCCCTGCCCTGCCCCACCTTCCCATGGGGACAGCTCGGCAAGCTGGGGCATGGCAGCGTCCCGAGGGGGTAACCCCTGCCGGAGGGGCAGGGCTGCTCTCACTGCTGCTGCTCAGCAGGGCACACGTTCTTCTCAGCTGAATTCCTGAGCGAGAGCCACACACCTCGGCTGTCCCCACCCATACACCAGTGTCCCATCTCAGCAGCTTTTTGTTTCCCATCTGAATGGGGAATGCCCCAGATCTGGCACATCCTGAGCGCTTCTCAGAAAAGCGTCTCTGTTTTTCAGAGACCCATTTTCTGCTGGGTGGGGCCGATTTCAAAGATACCACATGCCTTGGCAGAGTCCTGTTTGCTGCAGAGGAGCACAGTCACTGAAATCAGTACATAAACTACAGAATTGCAGAATTTGGTGTGGTTTTTGTGTAGGCATCAGGAGGGCCACCCCAGCCTCTCTCAGCATCTCACACTGGTGGGGATGGTGAG